AGGAGGAGGAGGAGGAGGAGGAGGAGGAGGAGGAGGAGGAGGAGGAAGAGGAGGGCGATTCGGAGGGGAGGGGGGGGGGACTTCGCATCGCGTGGCGAAAAATCCCTCGCCCCTCCGCAGGGGCTGCGAGAGCCTCCGCCTCTCGGTCGCGGCGCGCGCCGGGCGCGGCAGCCTCGCCTCCGCGCTCTGCTTCCTGACCGACTGCGGGGACTGGGCGCTGGTGGGCGGCGCGGGGGCGGACGGCCGACCCGCCGTGGCGCTGTGGGGCATCCCGGACCAGCGCGAGCTGCGGAGCTGGCAGCTGGAGGAGCCTCCGGGGGCCTTCGGCGTGCCCAGACACTGCCGGCCTCGAACGTATCCCTAGCCCCAAGGTGGACACGCCCAAAGGCGATGGCAACCTCGGGGACGTGCCCCGAGAAACCAGGGGGAGTCCCTGAGATTGGCATCGTGCCGAGGCGATGTGCCCAGCTCAGGGACAGGGATCTGTTCCAGGCTGGTAAGCCTGCGGCATGCCCAGACGCTGACAGCGTCGGGGCAGAGAGCTCCGGACGGGAGGCTTTTTCTCGGCCACTCTTGTCGGCCTCGGGGCGCCCACGCTTCGGCCTCGGGAGCGTCAGTAGAGCGGCGCAGGACTGGAGCACGGGTCCCGGGGAGAGGGTCGGGGCTTCCAGGGATCCCCGTCCCGAAGAAGTCAAGACGTCGCACGTCTGGGTGGCAGATCATGGGAGCCTTCCCCGAGATCCTGGCGACTTCGTTCGAGCGGGGCGTCTTCGTCTGTGTGGGGACCCTCGCAGATGGAGCCGGCTCGACAGAAATGGCGCAGGAAGTGGGGTCAGGGTGCTCTGGCTGTGGTTTCTCACGATGCTTCAATGTTTCGAGACGTCGGATCTCGGGGCTGCCTACCGTGGCAACTCCGGCTTCGAGAGTGCCTCGGCGTCGGTGGGCGTGCGGGGCAATCGGTGGGAGGGCGCCGACTCGCTGGGGCCGCCTGGCTGGGTGACCTCCGGCTGCGGCCCCGGCTTCGGCTCTGGCTTCGGCGCCGGCCCTGGCCTTGGCCTCGGCCCAGGCCTCGGCCGTGGGGCCCGCTTCGGACGCGGCGCCCAGGCCTCGGCCGTCGGCCCGACGGCCTCGGCCGCCGGGCCGCGGCCCTTCGGCCGCGGCCCTTCGGCTCGGGCCTCGGCCGCGGCCGCGGCCGCGGCCGGCCCGGGCCCCCCTGCTGCGGCCTCGGGGGTCCCGGGCCGTGCGGCGTGGCCCCGCCGCGCGGGCTGCCCGCGGGGGGGGGGGGCGCGGGCCGCCGCGCGGCGTCCTCGGGAGCTCGGGCCCTGCCCCGAGGGCGTCTCGGGCGGCCGGGGGCTCCAGGGTCCCGAAGCCGTGTTGCTTTTTGAAGTCGGGCCTGTCCCCCTGCAGGGGGATTTTCGACGAGGAATACAACGCACCCCGAAAATAGTCAAAACATAGTCCCCAAATAGTCTGGGGACTATGTTTTGATTTTCTTTTGGGGGGGGGCATTCTTGGGGTAGTTCTGTTCTCCGTCGAAAATCCCCCTGTAGGGGGAGAGGCCCGACATACGTGTTGTTGCGCATCGCGCGGTGGGGTCGTGTGGGGATGCCGAGGCCGCCACGCGGTCCCTTGCCGCACGGTGTTTCTGGGGCCCCGGAGGGTCGATCGGGGGCAACGTTCGGTTCTTATCGGAGGTGGACAGACCTCCTATCCTGACACGTCGAGTAAGGAATTGGCCGCTTTCGGCTCGCGAGAGGGCGTCGCGGCCGTCATTTTTGTTGCGGGCCCAGGTCCGTCGGTTTCGGCCCCAGGCCGTCTTCACTACGGGGACGTTTGCTAAAGGGAGGTTTGTCCACCGCCGATTCTATAGGCAGGCTCGTCGGTCCTCGGCGGCGATCCGGCCTCGGGGTGCCTTCTTCGGCGGCCGCGCCTCTCGCCGAGGGGCGTCGGGGGCGTTCTCGAAGAATCTCCCCGCACGGCCGCCAGCTGCCCGAGCGACGGCGGGCCGCAGGTCTTCGGGGACGGGGACCAGACTCACGGGGGGAGCGCCTCGAGGATGGGCGCCCGCCAGTCGTATGTGCATCCCAGGGTGGGGCCCCGGGGTGTTGGTCCTGCAACTCAAAGTCAAAGTTATGTGACAACAATTTGTATTTTTCACAAACTACGCATTTTACACACGAGATATAACATATTCCATCCACCACAACTATATGGGCGATTAGGGTGGGACAGGGGTCGACGCTTCCCCTGCTGCAGGGCGACATCGCGGGCAGGGGCCCGACAGCCCACCCCGCGCCCGGAGCGTCCGGTGGTGCTCTCGGGGGCCCCTCGCCGATCGATCGGGGAGGTGGTGTTGGCCCCGCCACTCTGCATATGTCGGAGGCGGAAAAGAGGGGGTGATGACTAGGGGGGGTGGATATCATGGCGGGGGTCATGATATTTCCCCAGATTTCATGGCGCCTCTTCTTACTTCATTACGTCCCTGGCCCCCCCGCTGGGCCGCGCACATGCCGCTGGTCATGATTTGCACCCCCCCTCTTAGACACCCCCCTCTTGGCCCCGTCACTCTGCATATGCGGACCTGTTCCCCCCCGTCCTCGTCTCGGGGGGAGGGCCAGCGCTGCTGTTGGCGAAGTACAGATTCTTCTTCTCCCTCAAGGTTTTGGTCTTCGTCACCGTCGTCATCGGCGTCGCCGTCGTCGTCGTCGTCGTCGTCGTCGTCGTCGTCGTCGACTACGGCGGGCCCTCGCAACACCCCTCCACCCCCATTTGGAATCCGCAGCGCGTCGCCGACGTCGTCGTCGTCGTCGTCGTCGTCGAAGACGGCGGGCTCACGCAGCCGCCCCCCCAGTGGGGCATCCGCTGCGCGTCGTCGTCGTCGGCTGCGGCGGTGTCGGCCTCGTCCTCGTCCTCGGTGTCGCCGTCGCCGTCGTCGCCGTCGTCGTCGTCGTCGTCGTCGTCGTCGTCGTCGACTACGGCGAGCCCACCAAGCATTCCTCCCTTCCGTTTGGGCATCCGCAGCACGTTGTCGTTGTCGCCCCCTGCCCCTGGGACGTCCGCAGCGCGTCGTCGTCGTCGTCGGCTGCGGCAGCTGCAGCGGCTGCCTCGGCTTCGGAGGTGCGGCGTTTCAGTTTTGCTCCTTGCTGTTATTCGCGTGGTGTCGAGAGACGTGAATCCGGCGAATTTGGGCCGCTCAAGCATTCATATTTCTTGGCCCTAGATTGGTGCATACACACCTTCATTTGTATGTATGAATATTCCGACTGTTATTTTCTCGTTACCCGGAACCCCCCCCACCCCCCACCCCCAAACCGGACCCCCCCCAGGGACGCCCTGGACGCCCTTTCGGACGTCTCAGCGGCCCCCTGGACGCCCCTGGAAAAGCTCCGCTGGCCCTTCGGGGCCTCCCAAGGCGCCGTGCCGGGCCTTGCGAGCAGACTCAAGAAGATCGGAGGTGTCATCGGAGAGGCGCAAGAGAGACCCAAGACAGCACAAGAGCGCCCCAAGAGAAACCTCGATGGCCTGAAGACGGCCCAAGAGGCCCCCAAGACGCCCAAAGAGGCTGTTGAGTGAGCCCCGTTCCCATTCCCTCGGGATAGTGTACAAGTTTAACATATCCGCTGTTTGGGATTTCGCAGCGTCCAAGACGGCCCGATGGGCCCCCGATATCGCCCGAAGACGGCCCGAAAGGCCCCCCAGAGGGCTTGAAGACGGCCCAAGAGGGCCCCAAGACTTCTCCAGAGATTGCCCGCAAGAAGGCCAAGATGCCCCAGAAGGCTCCCAAGAGAGATCCACGAAGGCCATGGGAGACCCCCAAGAAGGCCATTGGAGGCCCCCACGAGGGCCCTAGATGGCTTCATAAGACGTCTGGAGGGCCCCAGCTCCCTAAGACGGCCCAAGAAGGCCCCAGGACGGCCCAAGAGGGCCCCAGGACGGCCAACAGGCCTCCAAACGCCCAGACGGCTTTTCCCTACGAAGTACATCGAGCTGACCCGACGATCTTAGTTCCACGCGTGAGGCTCGAGGTATAAGTTCCTCGATCGAGAGAGACAGGCAATGGATCTTGATTCGAAGTTCGACGATCGAAGATTTCCTGAGTGCCTGGAGCCCTCCAGGCATTCAGGAAGCTATCAAAGATCGATTTGCTCGGAGCTGCTGCGGCTTCTTCGGCGCGTCATGGGAACGCTTCTTACTTCTTCAAATGACTTTTGCGCGTGAGCAAATCACCGTTCCTTTCCCACTCCTGCGCACCAGCGTGTAAGCGCATCGGGCGAACGCGGTGTCAGCAGGCACCAGTGATATCAGAAAAATGAGCCGGTCGCCCGCCCAGGCTTCGAGGTCCCTTCCGCTGAAGCAAACGATGATTTCTAGCTTTGCCAGGGAGAGTCCGGAGCAAAGTGCATTGGCGCGAAGCGCCAATGCAGTTTTTTTTTTGTTTTTGTTTTTTTTTCTCTCTCTCTCTCTCTCTCTCTATATATATGTATATATGGATGTATATATATATATATATATATATATATATATATATATATGCCCATCTCATCGTTATGTGTATTTATTAAAGTTAGGACCTCCCTGTCGCCGATTCTGGGCTGATGTCTCTCCCCGACGTTCACGCTCGCCCGAGGGACAGAAGCCGGCGGCTCCGACCACATGGGCTTCCCAATCCCGCTCTCAGCCTCGTGTGGCCCATCGCCGGCCCCTGCGCGGGCCCCTGCGCGGGACCATCGGGGGCGGGTCTGGGGCGACGAGCAGCCCTCGCGGGAGGGGGTCGGGGCCCGTGGGGCCTCGCAGTGGAGCAAGCATACTACTACTACTACTCCTACTACGGCTAAGCCTATTACTACTACTACTACCACTACTACTACTACTACTACTACTGCTGCTACTACTGCTACTACTACTACTACTACTGCTACTACTGCGACGACTACTACTACTACTACTACTGCTACTACTACTGCGACTACTACTGCGACTACTTCTACGACTACTATTACGACTACTACTACTACTACTACTATTGCTACTACTACTACTACCACTACTACTACTACTACTACTACTACTACTATTACTACTACTACTACTACTACTACTACTACTACTAGTACTACTACTGCTACTACTGCTACTACTACTACTACTATTACTGCTACTGCTACTACTGCTACTACTACTCCTCCTACTACGGCTAAGCCTACTACTACTATTAGTACTACTACCACTACTACTACTACTACTACTACTACTACTGCTACTGCTGCTACTACGAATACTACTTCCACTACTACTACTACTACTGCT